TCGCATGATTCTGCATTTCGAGGGAAACTCGGTCGGAAGGAGTTGGTGATGCGAATCGTGAACCCTACCGCGACCCTTCGACACCAGACGAGGTGTACACAATTTGGGGAATAGAGACAAAATGGACTAAATCAAAACTGAAAAACAATCGTTGTGCTTACTTTCATTTCGAGCAAACGTGTTCGGTAGTCGCGACACTTTGTTGCTACACGAAAAATGTGTGTCACCCGCCCAACCAACGCACTCTTCGAGCTCACGTCGCGAACGGTCGAGGGCGTCGTCTCAAAGACAAAATGCTCCTTCGAGTTCCGACTCGAAGAACGAGTCAAACTTGCTGAACTCGTTTTTCAGGCGGGTTTTCGAGACAATCTGTACCTTAGACACATCATTTGCATTCACACTGTTTCGTTGGAGGTGATCAAGTGCAATTCACCCACAACGACTTGAGTAGAGCCGACGTTTCCATCGGATTTCGCAGAGCCTTGTTCTCTTCATCACCTTCAACGAAATGGACGCACTGCATCTCATCCGACCGTCGGGCTGGCAACCGTCGTGCACGCAGCAAGACAGCCTAACATGGAACCGGGACGGGTCAAAAGTGACACGATTAGTGGCGACCACGAAAGGTGAAGTGAAAAAGCGAGTCTCTTTTTACCTCGACGCTCGAGTGGGTCGTCGTGATGCAATTCGTCTTCGTGTTCTGACGCTCGATGTGTCCAGGTTCGAGGCCGAGCACGACGGAACCAAGTGGATCGGCTAAACGAGCATCTTTTTCCTCTTCAGCCCAACTTGTCCGGCGGCCGCCAACTGCCGGAACGGCTACGCCGACGGCGTCTGCCAACCGGACTGCAGCAGCCCCGCTTGCGGACTGGACGGCGGCGACTGCGTCTCCGACGACCGGGTCGAGTCCGGCGCGGTGCCGAGTTCGAGACCCGCCCTCCTCCTCCTACTCCTCCTCGACCGGAGGCCGCGCGTCCGACTGCGAATTGCTGTCGACAGTCTGGCAGCTTTTCGAGCCCTCGAAAGACAGCTTTTGGCGGGTAAGTTGACCGACAACGGACTACTCATGAGTCATTTGGTCATGTGAAACCGTCTCGAATGCTCACAAACTGCCATAAAATGCCAACTTGGAGGCTTCTTTGCTGGAAGAATCAAGAGTTCCAGTCCGTCTGGCTCGGTTGAGGTGACGTGAGGACTGACAGTCGATCTGGCCACAGACAGGGCCGGACTCCGTTTGACATTATTCAC